TGTGTGTCTTTTCCTGATGTGCACAGGTGTGTGTGTGTGTGTGTGTGTGTGTGTGTGTGTGTGTGTCCAGTGTGCAAACATTGCTGGCCTGGGCGACTTTGGATTGTCCCAATGCTCATGCAACCCATGGAGCTGCCTGTCCCTTCCACAGCTGTCACACTCAAATGCACATTTGAGAAGGCAGGAGTTAAAAGGGATGGTATGTCTCAGACACCAAGCTTGAGCCTCTATGGAGGCCACCTCTGATGGGAGCCAGTCTTCACAGAGCACCTGCTGTGGCTGGAGCACTTCCTGGGGGAGGAGGGAGACATGGCATATCAGGTCAGGGTAAAGGCTGTGGGGTGAAGAGTAAGGGTGCTACTCAAGGCCTGCAGGGTGCAGGCCCCAGAGCTCCGCAGGACCACAATGCACCCACTTTGACTTTAGGGGTCAGAAGGCTGGTGGGCTCTGAGGTGGAGCACTCAGGCTGTGATGCTCCCTGCTGGGGCCTCTTTTACTTGCAGCTCTGTGTGTGTGTGTGTGTTAGTGTGAGTGTGAGAGAGACAGAGTGTGAGAAAACCAGCCCTGGTATAGCCAGCCTTTACCCTGCCCCTTTTCACAGGTGCGGAAGATTGCCCCTGAGTACTATGACCACCTGCCACAGCACCACTCCTGGGTGAAGGTGCTCTGGGACTTTGTGTTTGAGGACTCTCTGGGACCCTACTCCAGGATTAAGCGCAAGTGTAAGCTGGCAGAGAGACCGCCTGTGAGCCCTGCCAACCGGCAGTCCTGAGGGAGCAGCCCCATGCCTCTTGCCCACATTCCCCCACTTCCGTGGGCCAGGGCCACAGAACTGGTCTGGTTACATCAGCTCCTGCAGTCCAGGCTGCTTCTGGTCCTACTGGGGCCAGCTACAGGGGATGCAGGCTGTGGTTGGCATAACCAGGCTTACCTAATCTGACTGACCAGGATACTCTGTGCCCATGGTCCCATGGAGCTGGCTTCTCTGTTCTTGTGCCCTAAATTAAATCTAACATTTGTCTTTACAGTTAGTGTGCTGTCCTTCTCTGGGGCAGGATGGAGTCTTGGCCTGACCCTGGGCTCCTGAGAATGAGTTCTGAATGAATCCATGTTGGTGAAGCCAGCCTGTGTCTCATCCCCCTCAGGCTCAAGAAGGGTGTGTCACATGGGGAATGGTCACAAGGCTCCCATTGCTGGTCTCTTGGCCATATGGATATTGGCCCTTGAGAGCAAGAAGATTAAGTGCTGGGACTTCCCCAGGTTGCCATGGATTACTCCTGGCAATGCCACAGGGGGCAAGGGGTCCATGGGGCCAAAGCTTCCTTCTTCCTCCCTGAGCCCCAGGCCTACTTCCAGCACTTGACAGGAAAACTGCAATGGAACCCTTGAGTCCAGGAGTGGGTTGCACTCACAGCCCACTCACCTTGTGACCCTGGGGCTGTGTGGCTCTCCACAGGCAGGACCCGAGCTTAGCTCCCCACGTGGGAGGTGCCTGGTGGCCTGGTCATGTTCTTGGGTCCTGGGGAAGTTCTGATGGACTCCGGCTGCTCTTAGCTCTTTAGTCCTGCATAGATGTCCTGGGCACTCCCTGTAAAGTGGCATCCTACCAGGGCAGCCAACAGCCGGCGCATGAGAGAGCGAGTCAGAGCCCCGAGTGTGGACAGTGAACCGTTTATTATCGTGTGGACGAACACGCACTGCGTGGACAGACTGAAACACTGTGGCTGCTGGGGCTGAGCTGCATTCTGACAGCTCTGTGGCATGGAAAGGCCACGCTGCACCCAGCTGCTCACTGCCAGCTGAGGAGCTAACAGTGCCACCTACGAGAAAACTTGGAAGCCATCTAATAAAGCAGGTGATTTTGGGGTGTTCTCTCTATAAACCAAAGAAATGTACACTTAAATAAGCAAATATAAAATACAAAAAAGAATAGACCCGGTGTTTTGTGTCAGATACGCTAAAAATCCAGTAGTTGAAGTTTGTTTCCTCATTTTAATATGGAATCACAGGTTGAGACTTAAGTACATCCCAGCTTCTGCAGGCTCGCTGTGTGCTGGGGCCAGCGCGGCTCCTTGCGATCCTCCAGGGATGGCGCCATCTTACGTGGTGCTGATCCCACTTAGCTCCTGTCTGATGGCTAGGGGCAGGAGAGGGAGGCTCAGTGTAGGAGGAAAGCACCCTGCTCAGGCTGCCAGCTGAGACCACACATGGGCTAGAGGCCCACTAACACAGCAGTTTTGACAGACCTTTGGGGAGACAACCCAGCCCTCATGAGCTTCTGCCCCTAATGAGAGAGACTTGAAAAAGTCCAAGACTAGGCCTTGTTTCAGGGCTCCCTCGAGCTGCTGTGGGAGGAACCAGGTCTTCCTAGCGTCTAATAGGTGGGCACCCACATCTGCTCAGAGGCCTTGAGTCCCTCCCCCCACTTGCCTCGTGCATGTGGTACAGCAGGAGTCTCTAGCCCAGCTTTTCCCCTCCAAGGCTGATTCTGTTCTGCCTGCTTGAGACCCGTTAAGCCTTCCCAAACACCCTCTTCTTCCGTGCCCTCATCCTGTTTCTTCCCCAGACCTGGGCTCCCTTCTCTTAGTTCCCCACACTCCTCCCTGAGGTACCCTCACGGTGGACAGACCTGGCTGGAGCTGACAGCTAGAGAAGGGCCACCATTAGGTAACAGGCTCTTTGCAGGGCCAGGACCCTCACACATGCCTTCCTGGAGCCAGGGGCTCCCTAGTCAGGGCCATGCAGGCTGTGAAGGAGCTCAGGCACTCTCTAGAGGCAGCCGTGACAGGACTGGACAGGCAACAGAAGTGAACAGGAAAGGACAGAAACTTGGAGGGTATCTCCAGGCCCACCCTCTCCTCCACAGGGCGATCTTCTGGGAACGAAGCTGAGGCAACGGAGATCTCAGACACAGAAGCCACACCCCAATGCATTCTGAGGAACCCACTTCACTTTTGTGAGCCTCGGTTTCCAGCTACAGGCTGGGCTGAGTGTGGGGAGCTGGGAGGACAAGGAGTTCATCCCTGGCTGGAGTGGCCCCCACTCACCATCAATGATCTCCTCTTTTACCTTGTGGAGCTCTCGAACCACCTCCTCCAGGATCTCCTGCTGGGCAGAATCTCAGAGTGAAGGGGCAGACACTAGCTCCAAGGAATGAACTGCAGGAGTCTCTCCCTCAGCCAGGCCCTGGGCAAACCCCGCTCTCAGCAACCCTCAGGCCACAACCGGGCCCATAGGGAGGGGGCCCACAGGGAGGGGCCCCAGAGGCAGGCTGCAGGGTACCCAAGCCCTCCCTTTTCCTCCACAGGCCAGCTTCCTGCCTTTGTGGCTAGAGAGAGCCCCCAGCCTGCTGACTGCTGCTGGCTCTCACCTGCTTCATGCGGTCCAAATCTAAGGCATCCAGGCCCACGTCATTTACACTCCCAGCAGGCTTCACCCTAGGAGAAGAATGGCCCGTGTGGGAGGGTGGGTGCTGGGGAAGCCTGGGGTGCCAGAGGTCCCTTGCTTAGGGTCCGAGTGCCACCTGCTCCCCAGCCTTTCTGCCGTGGGGTTGCTGGGAAAGGATGTGAATGTCCTGTCCCTTAAAGGTCTCTACAGTCCCTTAACCACATTTCCCAGGCTGAGTCAGAGCACGGGGCCGCCCAGGACCAGTCTTCTGGCTTGAACGGCCTTAGGTAGAGGAGGCAACCGAGGCCGACTGCATTAGTGCCTCCCGTCTCCCTGGAGAGAGACAGTTCTGAGAACATTTCCCTCCACATGGAGCTTGTGCTCCAGCTCAACTCAGGTTGGTGAAACCCAACAATGGTAGCAGTGGGACAGAAGTTAGCTCCATGCTGGGGTACCGCCTCCTCAAGCTAGCACTTCCTGGGTGGGAGACCGCTCTAATGCTTTGCTCCTTCCACAAACTTCCTAGGCTGCTCCCCTGTCCCCAGTCTTCTCCAGAGCCTCTCCAGGGCCATAGTCATCTCTGGCGCACAGTCTGGCTGACCATGGGCAGGCCTGTCAGGGCCACACTGGAGCTCTGCTCCTCTCATCACCTTGTCTCACTATGCAAGCCGGGCTTCTGGTGTCACCTGCTCTGTGACAAGGGCTGCTTGCTTCCATCTGGGGTGGCCAGTGGAGATAAATCCTGGTGTGGGGGTAGGGGCCTTCAATGCAGGCGTATTTAGCTTCAGTCACCGTCTCTGACTTTTGGGGCCAGCGAGGTTCTCTCCTGCTCTCTTTACTGGCTATGCTTGAAACAGGCTCTGGACTGATTCCTGACCCAGACTTCAGTGGCTCCCGCACAGGCACTCATTCTCCCCGATACTCACTAGCCACAATGTGAATCTAACCCCAGGTCTTTCAGAACATGGTGGAGGTGCTGAAGGCAGACACATTCTAGACCCAATTCCCTGCCCATGTGGACAGAATAGCTATTAAAGCCTGTGGTCCAGGGGTGAGTTACATAGATGTTAAAAATGGTGCTGAACAGGTCTACCAGGGATTCTGGGTCATGATAAGCAAATAACCCAAGCTTCAGCCCCTTCCTTCAGCAGCGACTGGGCCATTTGTCACGCCTCCACACTGACAGCGATCATGAACAGCAATGAGTGCTTTGAGTGAGTGGTTACTGTACATCTTCTTCACTGAAACTAAAGATCACATTTGGCCAGGTTGGGCGGTGGCACATGCCTTTAATCCCAACACTCGGGAGGCAGGTGGATCTCTGTGAGTTCGAGACCAGCCTGGTCTACAAAGCAAGTTCCAGGACACAGAGAAACCCTGTCTTGAAAAACCAAAAAACAAACAAAAAAATATCAGGTTTGGCTTGAAGCTGCAAAGAGATTTCATTCTGAGAGAGAGGGCTCACCTGTGTCTCTGTCCAGGGAAGGACACCTGGACACTGAGAAGGTGGGATCACACCCTGAGCATCTACCTGCTTTCAGGACCAGCTCCTCATGATCACATTGGAGGCTGCCTCTCATGTCTGTGCAGCAGCTTCTCTCTCACCCAGAGGCTTGGCCAACCCCTCGCTAAAGCTCCCACCCTGGACTACCCCTGTCCCCAGTCTTTTCCAGAGCCTCTCCAGGGCCATAGTCATCTCTGGCGTACAGTCTGGCTGACTATGGGCAGGCCTGTCAGGGCCACACTGGAGCTCTGCTCCTCTTATCACCTTGTCTCACCGTGCAAGCCGGGTGTCACCTGCTCTGTGACAAGGGCTGCTTGCTTCCATCTGGGGTGGCCAGTGGAGATAAATCCTGGTGTGGGGGTAGGGGCCTTCAATGCAGGCGGTATTTGGTTTTAGTCACCATCTCTGACTTTTTTGGGTCAGCATAGTTTAAGAGTTCTCCTGCTGTCACACTGGCATTTGGTTTGGGAAACATGGTCAGCTGACTTGTGAGGGAGACAGGCTAGGTGTGCTGAATGCAAAGGAAGGGAACCAGGAATGGTCTGAAGGAGCAGGGTGCTTGGATGAGGGTGCAGCAGTCCCCACAGCTACCCTGGGTGGTAGGGACTGATGGCTGCTTCTCTTCCCTTTCCCTCTAGAAGTCACACCCAGGAGAGAAGGAGCCAGCCCACACCATTGTGAAGGTCTCTAGCTTTCTCTCTCCCCAGGTCTGAAAGAACAGACCACCCACCCTTCCCCGAGCAAGTTGTTAATACCAAGACAAGAGACAGAGCTGGGAGGTGTTAGTCATGGGCAAGGCGACAGAGAAGGCCTCAGAGCCCAGGTAACACATGAGCAGGAGGGTTGTCGGTACCTAGAGTGAGGCTGTGACTGAAGGGGACTCTTAGCTTCGGGGCTCTTTGCCGCAGATGGCGTTCTATGGTAACGGAATGAAACAGATATGTAAACGAATGATAAAGCCCACCCATGAGTCTCGTCTCTTGGCCCTTCCCAGAACAGCTCACCTGGACAGCAACGAGGACACTGGTTTCTCCACAGAGTTGCTCCGTTCCCAGGGCTTTCGGCCAGCCTCTGCCAATTCATTTCACAAAGGGTCAGAGTGGAGAGGACTCAGTGACACCCCACTCCTAAACACCCCTTGCAGGAGCCTGCCCAGCCTGCGGGAAAGGCTGCTCACAGCAGAGTTGCAACCTGGCTGAGTCTCAGTCTCCTTTAGTCAGGGGACCCTTGGAACTGCAGGCAGCCCTACTGTCACCCCATTTCCCAACCCCAGGGTTCCTGTTCCCTTGAGTCCCCTCCCTGGAGCTTGGTCCAGCTGCTAGGGAAGCAGGGGTGTCAGCTACAAGGAGCAGATGGGACCACTCCCAACACTCCCATTAGTTTTGTCCTTTGGCCAGGCTGCCTGGGATCCCGCTGCACTTTGGTACACTAGTCCCCTCACAATGAGTCTGGAAACCACTTTTCCTTTTCTAAGTCTAGTGGTGCAGGCACCTCATCTGAGACACGGGGTGTTGCAGGTTCAGAGTTCATCCGAAACTTGCTGGAAAAAGTTTCAGAGTTTGGAGCATTTGGGGTTTTTGGACTGGGGAAGCTCAACCTTTGTTGCACTAGATTACAGTTCATGCTCCAACAGGGAATATACCAAATTGAGCAGAACAGGCTGGCCAGGGGTTGAGAAAAGGGACGGTGAGGCTGCCCTGCTCTAAGCTGAGCCTTGTCTCCAGACCAACCTCAGGTCTGAGGCAGGTTACCTCAAAGCCACCTGGCAGGTGCACTGGGCTTACAGGACCTGAGACCACAGCTACACCCCAGATGTGTGGCCTCAAACAGAATACTTTACCACAGGCAGCCCAAAACTGCTAAGCATAGGAAATCCCTTAACCCACACTGTAGGACAACAGAGGACAGTAACACTGACCAAAGAATCTGCAACACAGGGAGCAACAGCCCAGGAAGTCCTAGAAGGCTGGCAGACATGCACCCTGGTACAGACAGGAGCTCACAAGGATCCACCTGTCAGGTGGGCAAGCTGACTTCTCTATGGTAAGCCTCTCCTCGCCGCACACATGAGCCCCAGGCTCAGTGCAAGTGACCCCGAGTGCACTCTGAGTTGAAGCCTCAACAAACAGGGTCTGGGTCTTCTTCCCACAGCTGAGCCTCACGATACTCTCCTAATCACATTCCCTCTGCCACAGCTGGCTCAGTGACCAGGGTAGGGCCAGGCTGGGCTTCTGATAGAGTAGGGTCAATTGGTGATCTAACTATAGTATCAGTCTAGTTAGCATTTCACAGCAGACACAAAATATGACATTAAATAGCTCCTTGGCCAGGGGTGTGGCTAAGTGGTAGCTTGGGAGACTAACATGTAGAAGCTCTGAACTGAAAAACAAAACAAAACAAAAAACCAAAAACCCAAAAACCTTACTACTCCACAACCTCCCGGCAGCCCAGCCCCTGTCTAGGCCAGACCATGACATCTCCACTGTAGATGGTACTCTCAGTGCCTTCCCTCAGCTGGACCAGGGTCAATGTCCCCTTGTCACACCTGCCCAGCTGGCTGCTTGGTCTCCTTGGGAAGCTCTGAGGCTCAGTAGTCCTGACCCTCTCTGCTCATGCAGAGTGAAGTGGCTAGATTAGCTGACCACTTGCTCTAAGACCTCCAGACTTGTTGGGCCAGGTACCCTCTTACCTGAGGAATTAGGTGGCTGGCTGGTGGCTCGGGTCCCTGGAGATGGGGAGGTACTAGGATCTTCCTAAAACGGGAGAGAAGGGCCCTTTCATTAGTCTGTTAGGAAGGCTGCTTAGGGATGAGGCCGGACATCTTTGCACTAGCTGCTTTCCAAATGTCCTCAAGGGATATGATCAGTAGATAGATGTCTGGCATTAAAGGACAAAACCTTCACACCCCAGCAGGTTCCCTGTCCAGACTGTGAGCAGTGAGGAGGGAGGGGGCTCAGGAAGGGCTACTTCTTGGCCCCCAGCACCCTACCCAGGCCTGATTTACACAGAAAGATCTGCCTAAGAAAAGGCGGGAAAAAGTGAGGCCCATGAAAGGGTTTCAATGGAGCCTCAGCAGTGAAATCCACTCCTCAAGGTGCTGTGAAGCTGGGGAGTACAGGTTGGGGAGTACAGGCTGCCACCTAAGAAAAAACAGGGCTGACTCAAGGGAATGTGGTGCCAGGTCCTAACACATCGATGCAGACACCCTGTGGTTCTTGGCCACATAGGCCTTTGTATTCCCAGCATGTGTGGTTTAAGTCCCCAGGGGTGCAAGACACAGGTCACTTTGGTCCCTGGCAGGTCTGCAAGGCAACCCTGAATGTATGAAGGGCATGGCAGAAGCAGAGAGCTACAAGAATGGGGGTGACCTTCCTAACTTGGGGTCTAAGAGGCCATTTGTAGGGAATAAAGGTCATGCAGAAGTATAGGCTGAGGAGCTAGCTGGTGGCAGAGAGAACTGCACATGCCCAGACCCGGCGGCACCAGCCCACCTCACTGGCTGGCAGGTAGGGAGAGCGAGGCAGGAAGCATACACGGGTCCTAGGTATACAGTTCTCTCTAGTTCTCCTAGGAGGGGCAGCCAGCCTTCATGCTGTGTGTATCTGAGGTGTACACTCAGTAGTCCCAGTAGAATTCTATTTGTTTTAAGAAAGCTTATCATGCACTTAAAGAAAACTGGTGACCATAAACAGAAGTTGAGGCTGGGGGCTGTGCTGCCAGACTGGGCTCCATATGCCTGCCAAAGACAGAGCCCAGGTTTCCAGGATCCTCTGCCAGGGCGGGGATCTCAGCTCCCTGCCAGTAGGCTTGACAGACTCAAGTGGGGTGTTTAGAATTATAAGGAATTTGAAATAAAACCGCCATGACTTCCATAAGCCTCCAGCAGATGCACCCAAATCCTTTGATGTGGCCCTGGTACAGAAGTACAGTGGCCCCCTGGGTTCTTCCAAGCACTCCTGGCGAATGGGGCTTTCCTGCCTACTTCTGCTTTTCCTGCTAAGTGACAGTTCCAAGGGTCTGGTCAAGAGAATGCTCCAGGCTCAAGCCTGGCTGGATCTGCACTATGAAGGGATCCCTGTTTCTCCCTCCCAGCTTCCTCCAAACCAGGTCTTTGCTGGGAGATCTGCTTACAATGGAGGTAAGCCTGAGGGTGTGAGTGGGGTAGGGAGAGTGGTACCTACCATTTGGCTCTCATCTTCCTTTCTGTCAGCGGGCTTGTCTGTCTGGGAGGCTGCTTTTCTCCTAGATGTTGGGGAGGGAAAAAAAAATCAGCTTCCCAAGGTTTCACAGTGACCTAGAACTCTGGGCTGCCCCCATGCCACACTTGGTTCCCCAGGAGATTGTGTGTGGACTAGGGTGTCCATTCACGTGAACAGGTTACATGAGCCAAGGCCAGGAGGGTAAGACTTTCTGTGCTCACCCATGACCTAGACTCCAAACTAGTCCAGGCAGGAAGGAAGCCCCTTGGGGTGTTTCTATGTTCAGCTCAGCTGGTGTTGGCCATAGCTTCTGAGGGAGAAAGGAGCTGGCTGTACCTTGTTTAGGTCCCTGAGGACAGGGTTTAGCTGAGAGGCTCTACTCCCAAGACACTCAAGGCCTATGGATAGAATGGTACCCTGGACCACAGTGTGTCACCTTGGGTCAGAGCTGCAGGAGGTCCTGTTACAGCTGTCTGGCTGGGAAACCTTGTCCTCACCATCAAGTCACACACACACACACACACACACACACACACACACACACACACTTTCTCTTGCTGCTCTCCTGTCTGGGACCTCAGTTAACCTAGTCACACCCTTCCCCGTTCAGGGTAACACCAAGGGACTAAGGGTGCCCTCTGCTCAACATCCTCATTCTCCTCACAGGTCTCTAACTTTACAGCACTCCACCTGGCTCCTTCACAACAATGTGCTCTGGTGGATTTTCAACTCTGTGAGGTCCCAAAGCATTAGCCTATCATAAACCAGAGGTGAGTGGCCTGTCAGGAGGGAAGCTGGCCTAGTGTATGGTGAGGAGCTGCCTCTGGCTGCAGTGGCAGGGCTCACACAGCTGTCTCATCTCAAAAGGACTCTTCCCACAACCCAGGGGTATGGAGTCTCATTAATTCTCTCTCTAGATCTTCCCAGTGGGACCTGTTCTCACTGCCGAAAGCTCTATGCCAGTTACCATCACCTGGACTACACTGGTCTTCACGGGTCTACTCAGTCACTTTACCCCATTCCGAGCACTGATGCTCAGAAGCCCATGTTTCATCTCTTAAAAACAGAGGGTAGCCTGGCCTGAGAGTGTGCCTCATTGGTAATACATTTGCCTAGCGTGTGTGAGGCCATGAGTTCCATCCCAACACTGTAAAAAGTGACAACTGGAGACCAAGCCACTCTGCTCTACACTGCTAAGATTTATAGGCAAACGCCTGTGGCAGGACTGGCTACAACATAGCAGCCCTAAGTGCTCACATCCCCTGTTCTCCTGCTAGAGGAAAAGCTGGAGACAAAAGCTGCAGGACCCTCAGAGTCTCACTGAGGTGGATCCCAGAGTTGCTTGGTTGATCTTCAAATGTGCACAGCACATTTGCTTTTTGTAGGGCCTGGACCCACCTCCACCCCCCACCCCAGCACCTGGCGTCCTCATGGCTCCTGGCAACTCTGACCTTTTCCTGTTTTTAGTTTCCTGGTGTAGTTTGGGCTACACCATCTAGGCCAAGTTGTTAAGCTCACTGGGAAGGTGTAAACATTTTTTCTGCTCTTATCTGAAGCCCTTTCATCTCTGGGTGCTCTGAGGTGCAATCCATCTGGCAATGAGGTACTTTTTCAGCCTGAGCTCTAGCCGACCTCTACCAGTCCAGTTCTGCACGCATGCTTCAAAACCTTGCCTGGCACCTCTGCTATCCCCCAGCCCAGAGAACCAAACTCCTCTAAGCTGAGTACAGGTGGAGCCCCCTCTGTGAGGCCCACTCTCTCCCTCATGCAGACCCTGACTTACTGCTATGTGAAGGCTGCTTACATGTCTGGCTCCTGTCTGGACAATTGATGACTGTGTAACCCTTCTAAGAGACCTGGGAAGGCCAGTGCCACAGACCACCTCACGGCCCTCTGTACTAGTCTTCAATGCAGATGCTGCTGTGTGCATGTAGGCGGCCAGGTTCTGTCCCACTATGAGGCAACAGCCTGGCTACCCGTCTGCATTTCTGGACCTGTCTCCTCTCTTCATGCTCACAGAGCCTCCCTCTTGGATTTAATGAGATTGCATTAGGACAACAATGAATTAGGCATACAGCATTCTCTCAGGTTGGTCAGCCTGGAAGGTGGAGGGGATGAGAAAGCAAACCAAGGGCCAGGACTCTCACAACTGTCCCCTCACCCGGGACAGGTCCATCTACCTGGTCATGGAGGACGCCTTTTGTTCACTGTCTCCCTGATGACAGGTGAGGGCACAGTGAGAAGTGTTTTGCTGATGTGTGAAGGGTGCCTGGCCTGCCCACCCTGCCAGGAATCCTTACCTGCTGTACCACTGGAGCCCCAGGGAGCAGGCCTCTGCTGTGGCTTTGTCTGTGCTGAGCTTTTCTCAGGCGCAGAGTGCTCTGACACCAGGTCTACTCCTGTACCCTCTGGTTCTTCAGATCAGCCATAGCCTTAGTGACCAGAGTCAGCATTCCTGGTGCTGGCCACACTTAGAACCATACCCGAGGTGCTGATCAGAAAACAGGCCCAGAGCTAACCTTGACACAGGGGCCTACCTTCTCCCGTCTCTGGGCTCAAGTCATCTTGTCAATCCATTTCCTGTGATGAAGCTACTGGACACTTTCCCCCACATTCTCTAGAGAGCGCTCTAACCCTGGGAGTGTGCCTTATGCTGGTTGGGCTTGTGAATGCCCCCTGGATGTTTCTTAGCAATGACCTTCAGGTGAGGACGGCAGCTTCCCAAGAGGCACGCGGACTGTGGAAGGCATGGGACCCACCTCTTGGCCAGCAGTTTGTTCATCTCTTCCATGAGGCCTCCTCCACCTCCCCCGCTGCTTGCCCGGTTGGCATCGGACTTTGAAGTCCCACTAGGACTGGAGCCTGCAGAAGCATCTTCTGGCTGAGGGTGAGGAAGCGTGTGTCACACTCTGGTACAGTGGGTGCAGGGGGAAGAAAGACCTTAGGAGTGAGGCTGCTCGTCTAACACTCCCAGCTCCACAGGTCAGAAAACACGCATCTAGGGCATTGACATGGTAGGCTCAGAGGCTTGAGTCCTTGCCAAAGTCAGCTGGTCACAGGAGAGGAGGGAAGCAAATTTCAAGCCAGAGATATGCATCAGAGGCACCCTCTTACGACCGACTGACTGCATGCTGCTCATTCCAGAGCAAATGCACCTGGGTGGGGAGCAGACTGGCTCAGTGGGAAGCAGGTCCATGGGAAAAGCAAAGGCAGCTTCAGGACTTATTGATTAAGGCAGCTTGTAGCTGACAAGGAGCTGTCCCCCTCTTACTTGTTTACTAACTGGCAAAGGGCAGGCTGGCCTGGCTTGAAATCTGGTTCTGTGGTACTCCTGAGAGCCACATCAGTGAGAGTGTCTCCCTGATGACAGGTGAGGGCAGGGTGACAGGTGCTTTGTGAAGGGTACCTGGCCTGCCCACCCTCTTCCCCGCTGTCCCCTCCTCAGCTTGGCTCCAGCCAGGGCAGCAGCCAGTCCTGAAGCAGAGCTCTCATCGTGGTTGGCCCCCTGGGCTCCTCCAGCTGGCAGAGGGGGCGGGGGCGGGGGCGTAGCCCCTGTGGGTGGAGGTGGAACTGGGGGTGGAGGTGGGGGTGGAGGTCCACTACATGAGAGGGTGGCGCTGGCTGCCACTGAAGGATGCCCAGGTGGGAGGAGGGGCCCTGAAATGCAATGGGGGAGGAGTCAGTGTCCGGCACCTAGCTGGTGTCCAGTCTACTGCTGTTATTTCGGGTCCCTGGAGAAGAATGAAGGGCAGCTTGCTCATCAGAGAGATGAGGAACAGAACAGTTTGCATCTCTCAGGAAGGCCCTGCAGAACTTGGCCCTGTTCACTCTCTATTCTTGTCTTTTCAGCCTGGCCCAACACTGCTTGAGCGCAGCATACTTCCTCTTGTTCCATTCATGCTTTTCCAGTGGGAAGGGAAATTCTTGGCAATGCCCTTTTTCCACTCTAAGTACTTGGCTCCATCTTTGGCATTGATTGAAGTAACTGCATATAACCCTTGGTCCCTGGGTCCCTGTGCCGACTGGGACTTTGGTTAAGAAACCATGAATGCTGAGCGCTGGCATTCACTGTGCACCTTAGCCAGGCACCCTCTACTGAAAGCTGCCTGAGCTTTCACTGTGTGTCAGGTACTGCGCCATGTGTGGAAGAAAACAGCTCAGGCTGTGAGAACAAATCAGAGGTGAACAGACAGGAGCTAAAAGGCAAGCTCTACCGAGAACAGGCACACAGGAAGTCTGACGTTCTTGGGACTAGACAGGAAAGGAGGTGTTCAGTTAAGTGAAGGGAAACAGGCGTAAGCAAAGAGAATGGGCTGCCTGGGAGAAAAGAAAGGAGAAGCTGGTGCTAGAGCAGATGTGGGAAGGGAGAGTGTAGGGTAGGCTGCACCTCAGAGCTGTGTCCCAGGGTGATGGGAGGGGCTGACTTGCTCACAGACTGTGTGCAGGGGCCCGGGCAGCACAGAGGAGTTGCTGTGGTACCAGGTGAGAGGGCAGTATCACCCCAGTGCAGGCTGCTTTCCCATGAGCAAGACAGAACTTGAAAAGGCACTGAGCAAGTTAGGTAAGATGAGGCTACAATTATAGCGCAAGGCAAATAAGAAAGTCCTGCCCCATTAATGCACCTGACACCCCTTCCCGAGGTGTGACAGGCCTGACTTGGCACCCAGGAACCCTCCTCTCCAGGCTCAGCCCCCAACCCTGACTGTCTCCAGCAACCGTGGCACAGTGTGTACTCCACGTTAGGACAACCATGACTTCCTGGGGGCAGGAACTGTTGTCTGCCTTGTTGATAGTATGTCCCTAGCTCTCAGTGCCCTGACACAGGGGTTCCCCTACATGTCTACTGGAGGAATTGAACAACGGGAGGGCCCGGAGGCTCCCTAATCCTATGCTCCATTCCACTCCATCTGAAGTGAGGAGCACACTTTGAACCTAGGTGGTCAGAAGTCGGAAGAGTTCTGTCCGAGTTGGGGCCACTTGGGACAGGGTGGGTGGAAGGTGACCCTCACTCACCTGTGGCAGAGACTCTTCTCTCCAGAGACTCTTGGCGGTGTTGTTGCTGCTCCATTACTTGTCTGAAAAGCAACCAGAGCAGACAGATACCCTGACCTGTCTGTGCCTGAAAGCCCAGGCTTGAAATCTGCTTCTGTGGCATCCTTGAGAGCCACAGCACTGGCTGTGTGTGTGTGTGTGTGTGTGTGTGTGTGTGTGTGTGTCTGTTTGCACATGCACACGTGTGGTATGTGTGTGTGTTTGCATGTGCACACGTGTGTGGAGACAAAAGGATCACCCTGAATGTTGTTCCCTGGTATCATCCACTCTCTTCTAGTCTCTCTCTCTCTCCTTCCTTTTTTTTTTTTGAGGTAGGGTCTCTGGACTGAAACTTGCCAAGTAGGCAAGGTTGGCTGGCTAGTGAACTCCAGGGTTTGCCTGTCTCTGCCTCCAAAACTCTGGGATTAGAGTGGGTAATGCCATATCTAACTTTTTGTTTAAAAAAAAAAAAAAAAAAAAGAGCACTGGGGCTTTAATTAGTGCTTGGCAAATACTTTACTGACTGAGCTATCTCCCCACCTCCCAAGGCTGCCTCCTAGAAAGAGAGGGATGTGTTGGGTTCAAGTACCGAGATGGAAGAGGACTGGCAAGCCAGGACACCCTGAGCAGGAAGTGTCTCGAAGAAGCTCGTGTGACTCTCTGGCTCATTTGATTGACTCACCTGGCTGTTTGGGGCCTATGGCTTCAATATGTGGCCTCAGAAGAAATGGCCAGAAGATCACAGGCCTCGAGGGCCACCTGGCACCACAGGGTTTCTAGACATGCTTCAGAAGGAGTTTAGGGAAGTATGGGTTTGCATGGCAAGGACATGTATCCTTAGTTTGCATTGAGCTCACAGATCTCTGGCATGCAGTAGGTGTTTCTTTTGGCCCGACAGTGCTGGCCTGACTGTGTCTCGACTAGCTGAAGGGTGCTTTCAGGCAGGCAGCTGTGAGTCATGGGGTTACCTTCTCTGGATGTCCATCTCCTCAGGAGAGGGGCCATTCTGCACCTGACGCTGTGTGGAGGGGCCTGTAGGGAAGAGACGCAGAGTGGAGTGGTCAGTAGAGGGAAGAAAGGCCCAACAAATAGCTGTAACGGCGCGCTCTCCACCCTCCTGGCCTCCGTCTCTCCCTCACCCTTCCTCTCTTCATTTCCTGGGGCTCCTCCCTCTGGAGCATAGTTGGGACCCCGAGTGCTAACGGTTAACATCTACCCACTTTTCTTTCACAGCACTGCTGTGTCTGCTCCTTCAGTTGCCAGTGTCTCCTGAGCCCACCATCAGCACGTTAAGAATCATCAGCTCTGATGGGTCTTTGGTGAGTGGCAGGGCTGGACTGAACCTAGGGACTACACAGGTGACGTGGCCCTCCTTGTACCTGCTGCTCACATGGGGAGTCTGCAGCCATGAGCAGCAGAGTCAGGTCCTGCTACTGCTCCCTTTGTTCTGGGCCACCATGAAACACTCTGGCCACACCCACTTTGTACCCAAAAGGGTAGGATCCCTCTGCCGAGCCTCATGGTCACAGGAGGGCTGGTGCATGCTTTGTGCCACATTTAAAGAGAAATCCAGGCTGCAGCTCCAAAAGAAAGAGCTGGCTGTTTCCCGCCGGCCAGGTGTCCCTTGGGAAGTACACAGTCAGCAGCTGGCAGAGGAGATGTGCAAGCAGCTTTGTTCCCCCTGCTGGGAGAAGCTCAGACAGCAGGGAGACTCTTCAGCCTCCTACTCCCTGAAGCCCAGGGTCTTTGTCCTAATCCTCTTAGGTGCAGAAAATGTACTGTACTGTAGGAACGTCATCAGAGCAATGCCCAGACACTTTCTTTGCTTAATCTATATTACAATTGCAATTCTCACACAGCTAGGAGGTGTCCAGGAGGACTTGGGACCACTAAGGAAACCAGGCCCAGGAAGGATAGATGACTTGCTCAAAGGTCATGCATGACTCAGAGCAGGACAAAACCCTTGCCAAGTGTCTCATTCTTCCTCAGGCTCAGTCTCACCATGAGGTCAGACTGAGACTGGATTGAAGGATGAGATGCTGGACTCACAGGCTCCCTGAAGAGACACAAGCTTCCCTGTCCCTAGACACTGCTCTCAGGTTTCACCTGTGTCTGCTCAGTAGGAGGGGCTCCTTGACCCCTGCCTCACTCATTCTGTCAAAGGCAGGTTTCACAACACCTTAGCCCTACATTTTGGGGCTCTGCTGTCAGCCTGGCTAAGGCTGTGGTAGTTTAAATGGAAACTGTCCTCCATAGCCCTGGCTATTTGAACACCTGGTCACCAGTTAGTGGTTCTGTTTGGGGAGATTCAGGAAGTTTGCCACTGGGGGCAGGCTTTGGGAGGGCGCTCACAGCCTTGTGCTACTTTGTGATCTCTGCTCCCTGCTACCGCCACTCCTCCCCACCACAGCCACTCCTCCCCACCACAACCGACTCTACCCCTCTGGGACTGGAAGCCAAAATAAGTAAGCTGCTTCTGGTTATGGTGTTTTCTCCCAGCAGCAGACAAGTAATTAATGCACAGGCCTTAAGTTCTAGCTTGAACCACCGAGCTCACCCCTGAGTTCAGACTTTGTCCTTCCTCCTTCTGCATGCTGCGTTCATATCCAGGCAACCTTGTGTTGCTTGTTGTCTGAGGTGTGGTCACTACTTCAGGACTAAGACCCTGGATGTATGGTCCATAGTAGCTGCTGCAGCCATGCTCACACAGTGCTCTGCTGTCACACACTTGGATTCCTCAATCTGTATGCTGGCCTAGACTCCCCAAACCCTCAGCTCCCCTGCTGCTACAGAAAGCAGGGAAAGGCCATCAGGAGCCGCAGTCCCTTGCAGGCTCAGAGCTCTGTCCTGAAGATACATTCTAGAGTCAGCTGAAAGCAGAAGAAGCTCCTGGAGTCCCTCTTCTCTACCCACTGGTCCAGCTGTCCCATGGCATGGTCAGCTAGAAGGGCTGCTGGTCCCCTGGGAAGCCCTGGACAGCAGCCCACTTACGGGGGCCCCTTCAGCCAGCAGTGCTTCTCAAGTGGTAGTGGATACCAGTGAGGAAGCTCTGGTCCTGACTAATCTTATCTGTCCTCTTCTGACTAAGGCAGGTAACTTCCCCGATGCCTGTAACCACTGGCCACGACGACAGACTCACTGTGTTACCTCTTGCCTCCTGAGCTGAGCTGTGTCCCTGTAAGAGGTAGGGTGAGGAAAAGGAGGGCCCCTGATCCCCTGATTTACCTTCTACAGCTCAGTACTTAGGGGTATTAAAAAAAAAAAAAGGATTACTTTATTTTTATTTCTGTGTGTCTCTGTGTCTTCAGAGTGTGGGTGCTGATGGTGGCCAGAGAGGGCACTGGGTCCCCTGGGGCTGGAATCAAAGGTGGTCACATGGGGTGTGAAGTGCTTGCTGCACAAGCTTGAGGCTCTGGTCCCAGTCCCCAGCATCCGTGTAAAATCTGCAAGTGGCGACACATCTGGAACCCCCACAGGATATGACTGGCACCTGTGAGTCCAGCCCCCATAGAGGGTCTTATTCCTGTCAGCAAGAGATGGAAGAGAAGAGGTAGGGATGGGTGGTCCTGAGGTACTTCCTCTCAGAACACAAAGAGCTGCTAGGAGATAGAGGCTGAGCCTCAGCGGAAACCAGAACCCAGTCTTGTCTGTTTCATGATGGGGAAGGTCTACTTCCCAGCCTCAATTCCAGTGCCACCACCCACTCATTCTTCCCAAACACCTGGGGAATCAGAGGATGTCCTTTAACCTTGAAGGTCACAAGGTGGGAACCACGACAGGAAATAAACAAGTAGAGAGTGAAGAGGGCCCAGTCTCCATTGGGTCCCCTATGGGCTCATAGATATAAGTAATGGCGGAAGGAGAGAGGAAGCTGGCTGGAGAGGATGCAGCAGAAAGACCCAAGGCAGAGTGTAGCTGGAAGACAGTGGGGACCAGGAAAGTGAACCCACTCTATGAGAGAAGTCAGCACCGGGCAGCCAAGAAACAGATGCAGAACCCACTGAAGGTGACAGCAGGTAAGAGCAACCTTCTCCACTCTTCACAGGCTTCCTTAAGACTAAGTAAGCTTGCTGCACACATGGTGGTGCTCTCTTTTAATCCTAGCACTTGAAGAAAAAAAAAAATGCAACCTGAGATGCTTTCAATTGACTTAAAAAAAATAAATCACTATTTTGGGAGGAAATGCACCTAACATATTATCAGTCTCTACTAGTTTTGCTGATGTGTAGTCATATGGTCATCTGAATTTTCTTTTTTCTTCAAGTATTTGAAAACTTTTTTTTTTTTAAACCACTGACCCTTTGGTGATCTTGTACCAACAGATGGCCCCCAAACTCCACTCAGAAATCACGCTAATGTCCTCATGCCTCTGACTGCCTTTTTTTTTTTTTTTTTGGCAGGAACCTTGAACTCCTGATCTTCCTGCCTCTATCTCCTAAGCTGGGGTTAGAGGCATGCATCAATACCTTTTTTCTTTCCATTCTTTGTCTTTTTAGATAGCATAGGCTGGGTTTTACTTCAGTCCTCCTGCCTTGGCTTCCTGCACTTGGGGATCACAGGCCTACGGCCTCACCCCTAGCTGTGCTGTGATTTCTTGAGATGACTGCAGGTCGGTTTGTGAAATGATTACGCACACACAGATCAGGGATTAGTCTACTCCACCGCCCTGCCCACAACTCAAAACACCCCGTTCAGCTCCTGAGTGTCTTCAGCCCTATCCCTGGGAGGCTGATCTTAGACCTGCTCTCCCATCGCCACACTGAGCACCTTGTGAATCAACTTCATTTGCTAAACTCCTTTCCGTTTCAGTGGCTGGCATACTATGAGGGCCAAACAGTTCTCCTTAGAAACATACCCCTTCCTTATACTGCACTCCTCTATGTGCATGTACACACATGCATACCATGTGTTCACATGCACATGTGTCTGAGGGTATGTGTGTACACGTGTGTGTCATTTCTCAGGTGCCAGTCAACTTTTTTTGGGGGGGGTGGGGGGCAAAGTTCTCTCATCGGTCTAGAACTCACTCATTCAGCTAGCTGGCCAGTCCACCCCAGGGATTTGCCTGCCTCTGCCTTCCCAGCAACAAACACATCACCACTCCTTTCTCAGGTGGGTTTTTGGGTTCACACTCAGGTCCTTGAGCACTTACTGACTGAGCTATCCCCCTAGGCAGTGTACGGCTCCTTTGAAGAGGACTCTGTAACACTCGTCTTTGATATAAGGCTATCCTAAGGATTCTGATCAGGGTACTGTCATCTTTGGGAAAGCTGCCCTTGTGTAAAGGAGGGGGCGGGAGAGAGCAGAGGAAGGAAGAACGAACCAGATATAGACGGCTTCCCCTCTTCCCCCATTCCCCCTCTTCACACTGACCAAGAGGCTGGGACATGGACAGGCCAGGTCATGGGTGCCCAGGTGCACAGAGTGCTCTGTGCCTGGCCTTTCACGCTGAGCTTTTGTGCTCACTAGGGCATATTATGCATGTTTGTTGGGCTTGGAAGACAGGAAGAGCACAGGCACACAACAGCCTAACCATTGCTCTACTGTAGACACCTCCAGATTCCCAGCACTCAAACCTTGTTGGCACCCAGTCAACATGAAATGAATATTTGATGAATAAAGATGGCTGACAAACTCGAAAGATCTCCAAGCAATGGCTGAGAGCACTGGTGATCAAAAAATCTTAGAAAACAGCAGAGGTCTATAGTTCAGACTCTCAAAGAGTAGCTAAGCCAATAAACTCTACGACAATGGAGCAGGTGAGGTACTCCGGGTCACCTGTCATGGCTGGGGCAGAAGAGGAGAGGACTAGAATACACTGGGCCCTGTGGGGAAAAGCTTCACGTTTGAGAACTGTCTGGCCAGAGCTGTCCCCAGAGGGGGTGGTCTAGTAGGGATCCTTTACGGTCCTCTGGGGGGATCCATGCACTACTCTCCTCCAGGCCTCCTGCCAGCCCTCAGTCTCGCCTTTCAGCTCCTTCCCATTCTCACACTTACAGACTTCTCCTTCAGGGTAATTTTATGTCACTGTA